TCCCCCCCCCCCCCCCTTTTTTTTTTCTTTTAAAACAGGTTTCAGACATGGTCTTCAATCTGGGAGTGCTAAATATTTAGAAATCCTGTTGACTTCAGATCAGGGCCTGGCTTATGCAGGTTGAATTGTATAATTATTAGCAGTTGGGGAAAAAGTAGTTTCAGGGCCAATATGTGCAGTTGTTCTTAAAAAAACATGAAGGCAATTTGGAAATTTCCTCTCTTTTCAGTGATTCTGGACTGAGTCCCACGGTACCAGTTCCTTCAAATTCAGGTAACTGTTGGGTGATGGTCTGTGATAAAAAGCCAGCCGTACATCAGTAATACCATTCTGACAGCCAGTTGGAGAGTGACTCTTTTGCTTCAGTGCAAAAGCGTCAGTCCTCAAGCCTCATGGTTAAGCACTGGTCAAGTCAACTTTACCTCAATCTGCAACTCATTCCACGTGCAAATCTTGTAGGGTTTTTTGCTGAATGTCTAGATTTTTCTGGCTACAGATGGAAAACCCATCCTAAAGCTACATTAAAAAGGCAGGAAAGAAAAGAATTTTCACATGAGAACAAAATTTTATCTTTAAAAGATAAAGCTAATCCAGGTTTTTAATGAAGCTGTATAGCACATACCATAGCAATATGAACCTGACAGAAAGCAGATTTGGGAGGGCAGAACACCAAAAAACAGTTGCCTGAGAAGCAGGCAGTGGTTGCAGCATCAAGCACTTTAGAGTGACAGAATGAGATGATACGCAAATTCAGTTTTCCTTTTCTATGAATATGCTTTTATATTCTTTAACTCTGTAATCACAAATTACGTTTTTTTCCACCAAGACAACCCTTACTTCTTTCAGTGCCCAGTAAGGACAGATTCAGGGGTCAGTCAAGGCCCTTGTGAACAAGACTTCTATAAAATCCCATCTCATTTGTTGAGGTCACAGGGCGGCATGCAATGAATGAAACTACGATAAAGTTTTACTATAAGGCTGTTAAATCTTGCCAGGGAAAACTGGCTTCTAGCTCTGTCTCTACATCCAGTTTTTATGTGGATGCTAATAAACCACTTGAACCAAACTTCTCAGAGGTGGCCACTGAGTCTAGATGTTCTTCCTCATTTCTGCCAGGAGCCTTGGAAATTTGGGTCAGAATACCAAGCAATTAGTCATTGCAGCATGCACTATGTTTTAAACATATTTGGTGATAGCTAAGGTCTGGTGTTTTGGAGAGAAAACAGCATTGTGTATCTCAGGCTGGGCATCCAGAGTCCATGAAATGGGGATGGTATCCCCTCAGCTGAAGGGCTAGTATGAAGAATGAAATTAATTTTTTGTCAAGTATTCAGTGGCCAGTGAAGGAGAAGAGGCCAAGAGAACATGAATTGTTTTGCCTATGGAACTCAGATAGCATGCATGTTGAACAAAACCCAAATAAAATACATATAGTTGCTAATTAAGCAAACATCCTGCATACTGAATAAGGCAAGGATACTGCGGAAAACCTGCCACGTGTCTATATAATTAAAGGCTGCATCACACTGAATATACAATAGGGCAAATTAACGTTGCTTAACTTTACTTCTAGATTTTTGAGATCTTGACTTTGCCGCCTTAATATGTTTTCTTTAATGTAGTTTGTGCGTGTGTGTTATTTCCTAGGTTTTTAAAAGAGTAAAACCAAATTCTGTCTTGTCTCATCATAGCACGCTCGTTCCAGGCTGTAGAAAGAGGGAGCAGTGCTAGGAAATAACTTCCTCTACATCTACCAGACACTCACTACTCCAGCTTCTTTCCAGTCCCTCAGTTCTCTCTCTGATCAAGCTCCCCTCACCCAGACAGGCTCTCATCTGTCTCCTACAGATGCACAGGAGAAAGAGAGAGAGACTCCCAGAGGTAGGACCCGGACAGGGCAGGTTCTGGAGCACTGGCCAGCACAGTCCTTGGGAAGATGGATCTGCAGATTTCCCAAGATCTCATCGCTTCACCAAATTTGGGAAGTCTGTCCTGGGATAGAGAGACGTATCTCTAACAGCGCTAAATATGCAACCCACAGCACGGGGGCAATAGACTTTCTAAAAATGTAAATAAATAACCCTAGCTTTGTTCTGAGCTCTGGAAGTTAAAAAAAATACTATTAGGAAAAAAAAACCACACCAAACCTGCAAGTAGACAGCCCTCATGAAAGTTTAAGCTGCACCAGTTCAAGTTCAGCAAAGTTATAAACAATAGCAAAAGTGAGAACTATCAGACTACCTTGTAATATTTCTTTCAGTACTGTTTATCACAACAGACGAAAATAAATCCACAAACTGCATTTGCTTTACAATATCTGCATATATTCAAAGGCATTTAAAGAAAACTCTGCTTCATGAAGTTGTCAGCAGTGCCAGAGAAATCAGCTGCTAATCACACCAATAAATAATCTCAGCATCCTTGCAAAGTACCGGTTTCACACCTGCCGGGAGTTAGTCCTGCGCACTGTGCACACCCTCCACGCAGCACTGACCTCCCTGACCCCGGCTGGAAGAGTTGGTTTAGTCAGGAGGTACAGCCCAGCTTAAACATGGTCAGTGCCAATTTGATAGAAAGCTGTTGTCTTTCAGTTCCTCCTGAAAGCCAGTGAGCCGGAATTAACAGCGTAAGAGTCCTCATGCAAGTATTCACGGTGCTTAACTATGTCAGTTGCAAAATCATACCTTTTATCACATCAGTGCAGTTTTTGTGTTAAGCCCTAAATAACCCTGTCTGTAAACACTTGGATCATACTGGGTTAACATCACAGGGATTTAATTGCCTCTGTGATAAGACACCTAAGGAACAGCCACCGCCAAACTGCTCAGAGTTCTTCAGTGTTTTCCTTTCTTGTCTCTGCAGGTAGACGGAGCGCCCCACCACTGAACCTCACAGGTCTCCCAGGGACAGAGAAACTTAATGAGAAGGAGAAGGAGGTGAGGAAAGGAATGAAAAGATAACCTATATAAAATTTTATCTTCACAGTGCAGGGGTGCTCACACCGTCTGTCTCAGGTGCTGTGAGTATAACCTCAGCTATATGCCCTGACTACTCTTTCCTGCTCATAAAAATCATTCAGGTTTCCCAGTTGGTTTCTTAATTTCAGTTACTGTACTATACGTACAACATAGCTGCAGCAAATTAGCTTATTTAGCAAAGAAAGGTGGAGTGCGCCAAGGTGCTATTATAACATCCAGAGTATGACATCCTCTCTTCCTCCGTTGTGAGACTGGGGTGAGCAGAAGGGTTATTTTTTCTTAATGAACGTTGGTTTTAAAACTGGCAGAGGATTTTGTCAAGGGCTTCGCTGGACAGATCACTGAACCTGAATAGCGGAGCTTTTTCTATATTATAGATACCTCGCAGCCAAACCTCAACCAGTTATGGTTGGTTTTTCACTGTAACGCTAATGTGAACCATAGAGGCGATAACAGTGTATTGTTCTTTTCATGTTTTTTTCCATATTTCTGCTTTACAGTGCATATACCAAGCTTTTTGTATGCGCGTATAGCAGAGAATGGAATCTGGCTTTCTTTAAGCCATGGGTTGCTAGCTCGGCCTGGTGTTGCCATTTGCAGTCCCATATAGAGTGCTCTTGCACAGTCACCTAAAGCAACCAGAGGCACAGGGAAGATCAACGGAGCAGACAGAAATGGGACTGCAACCCATGCGGCAACCCACAGGAGAGGTAAACAACGCAGCAAGGGGCCTGCTGTGTATTTATGGCTCACTTTCTTCTGCAGCCCAGTGTAGGCCTGTCCCCTAATTCAGTGAAAGGCAACACTGGAAAGCTATTGAAATAAAAGATTTATTTTTTTTAATAGAAGTCATAATCCGTCCTTAGATTGTCCACAAGGCAGATTTCAGTGTACGTGAAACGCAGATGTATTTCAGACTTTTCCCTCTGCGTGGAAGCCGTTTCCCCTTCACTGGAGATGGCAGCATTGAAAATCAGAACACAGATTCACCATGGAACATGGCATTTCTGGCTCCATTCAGCATATAAATAATTGTGACTAGGACATTAGTGTGTATGGGGAATCAGATTTCCTCGTCAGCTGAGACATAAAGTCTGAGTTCCTCTGAATTCTGCAATTTCCTATCAATGAGGAACAATCATTAAGCATTTCCTTATTAAAAGGAGGAGACAGCCAGTATTTCCATTGGGAGCAACACAGTGCACCATCTAGAAGGCGACTGGTATTTGGAAGCTAAATAGGAGCATTGCAACCTACCAGCAGAGCAGGGGGGCTTTTGAAAGCAATTCCTTTTACCAAACTTCCAAACACATCGTGCCCTCCCTGCGCAGTTTCCACCCTAGACTTCCGGAGGGGGCAGGGCGCTGTGTGCATAGCTGCTTTTGTAGAAAGATATTAAAGACTTAGTCTGCAGGGGATTAATAGACAGATGCCCTCCCTGGCTCTCGTCCAGCATGCTGAATTGCTGGTTGCAAGTCTTTTTGGCATGTGTACTTCCCTTGGTTTGTAAAGAACAACGCCCACACAGGACACACTCATAGTTACGCTCCTGTGAGCCGAGAGCTCGCTTTCATCCTCCTAGTTTATTTTTTAGTCAGGAATGTTTTTGAATGCAGCAGCCAGCAAGCTCCTCCCCTCCCTACCTGTGGATCGAAACAGCTCATAATGCAATTACTGTGTGCCTCCCCCATACAAAAAAAAAAAAACCATTTAAAATGTTTTCTGAAAGATATTCACAATGTTACTCCCTCAACAGGGATCGCAGAATGAAGGAGCGTGACAAGTGTTAGTGTTTATTAACTTCACCTTTTGTTTTCCAGCTCTGTCAGATGGTGAGGTTGGTCCCTGGAGCCTATTTAGAATATAAAGCTGCTTTAGTGAACGAGTGTAACAAACAAGGAGGCCTGAGACTAGCGCAGGCTAGAGCACTCATCAAGATCGATGTGAACAAAACCAGGAAAATCTACGACTTCCTTATCAGAGAAGGGTATATCACGAAAGCCTGAGGACAGACATCAGCGCTTTGGCTAGAGCAGACAGATGTGGAGAAGCTTTGAAGCCACTTTGACAGCACTGAAAGATTTTAGCAGTGTTGAATGAAGGACATTTCCGTTTGTTTAAGATCTTTTGGGGCTTTTTTTTTTTTGTAAAAACAAGTAGGGAGCTTTGTTAAATTGTATGAATACTGACATTTCTTCGTCTGGTTTTCTTTTGACTCTGCCGTTTAACGCTGCTGTTGTCAGAATTACGCTGCCGTAAAAACAATAGGGAGCTTTGTTAAATTGTATGAATACTGACATTTCTTCGTCTGGTTTTCTTTTGACTCTGCCGTTTAACGCTGCTGTTGTCAGAATTACGCTGCCACATAGCACTGGAAAGAACCACACACCATATAAGCTAACCTTAAACGTGAATGGGCATTCATTTCTAACACCTCTTGTAACTAAAAAGAGAATCACGGCACTTTAATTCTGACAGTGACACAGAATAAGGACAGAAGAGCAGCACGTAATGAGAGTCACACTTTGACTTTGTGTGAGTACAGGGGTATAGAAATGCAGGCCCCTCCCTTCTTGTACTCCTTCCTAAAACAGTGTCAGCTTTCAAAGGAGACAGCTCATGCCCCAGGGTATAAAAATAGAGCTTGCAGTGGTCCAGTCTTTTTAACTTAATTGTGATAAAGGATGGGAAAGGACATTGCAGGGAAGCTCCTCAACAGTTGTTACTTTTATGTGATATTAGCACATATCACAGCATGAAAGCACTGTACAAACCAATAAGCTTCATCTGCTCGCTACTTGATTTGCGATTGTCAAGTTACATATAATCCCTCAGTTTAAGTCTTTTTTGCTCCGGCTCATCGGAAAGGCTGGATGTTACAACCAGAGCAGCCTTTCGGAACATAAATAAAAAGACGCTCAGTACCCCGACGTTCTCTCACAAAAGATAACAAGCGAAGAGCACGACAAACTGCCCAGAGCACACACTTCAGCCCTTCCTGCCCTCCTGTTCCTGGGGCCTTATTCTCTCAGCTTACCGCTTCAGCGGCGACATACCCAGTTGACCAACAAAGCAACGATGAGGTGCAACAAGTTGCTACACACACAACACCCTGTCACATCAGATGATCCATTGTGTGACCAGTACAAAACATTTGTATTTGAAAATACAATTGGATGATGAAGGTGGTTCTTTTCAGATGCGGCTCGGCATGGTTTACGAGACAGTAAAGTCTTTATCAAACATTTCATTGCTAACGTATAATGCTGAAATAATGTCCCATAAGTAACCTAACAGCCAAAGCAGGTGGGATGTTGGGTGCTCTCAAGTTTGGGATCTCATGTGGAAAAGCCTGAGCTACAACTATACCGATACCTATTTAAGGTGTTTAGGTTTTGGGGTTTTTTTTCCCCCCAAGAGTAATTATCCTGTGTACCTGAGGTGCCATTGAATGTGAAGTATTTTGGTTTGCAATAAAATCAAAATTACTTGAAACAATCTTACATCCATGTTGGTGGACTCCGAGTGGTACCGCAAAGGTCATGCAGCTGCCTGTATCTATACCCATCAGCTTTTCACCATGAGAGAGAAGAGAGACGTGCACAACAGTGGCTGTATGGGTGCGACCACTAAATTACCTAGAAAATACTACTGTTTAAAGAAAAGCAGCAGTAATAAACTACACGTTGAAGATTAAAGTCTGGAGGAATTGAGACTGTATAGACTGGGAAAGCCAAGGGAAGGGACAAAGTAAGCTGTAAATCCTTGGGAATGTTTTTCCCAGTTGTCTTTTAACATTAAACAAAAAGCCAAACTACCTTTCCTCTTGCCCAGCCTCCTATGCCGTGGCTTGTACAAAAAAGCAGCAGGTGAGCGAAGTACACTGGTACCTGCTGTGACCATCCCGAGATCAGCGACGTCCCCACCCAGCAAACTTCAGTGACGTTCCTTTGCCCCAAAGGGACCCAAACAGGACCGCGAGCGTGACCTGCTTTGACCAAACACAGAACTACCCAAATCCGAGCTGTTGCCGAGCCCTGCGCTTTGGGCAGTGCTAAATAATTTGGTCATCCGGAAAATGTCGGGGAGAAAAGATCTCTGGAAAGGTGAGAACGGAGATCCTTTAACTGGCCAGGAGGGGAACCAGAAAAGAGACTTTTCTTTTCCAAGGTAAGAGAGCGCGAGGCAGTGGGGAAGTGGGGCTGGGATGCTTCCCTCAAATAGCATCAAAGTACACAAACAGCAGGTTTTCCCCCTTCACAGGGCATCTCCCAAGCAGGGAAGGTAACAGGCTTCCAGCGCGCCCGTGCCAGCGTCAGCACCTCTTTGCTGCTCCTGTTGCCTTTAATTGCCGGGCTCTAACACAATGCACCGTTGTGCTGCAGAAAGCAAGCCAGAAACGTCACGTCAGGAGAAGGCTGTTGGGATAAAAAGCTCCACCTGTGCCTGCGCCAGGCTCGGGGGTGAGGTGGGGACCAGGGGAGGCACGCGGGGGCTGGCCAGTGCTGTGGCCGTGGCCATGCACACCCCACCGAGGCACGACCATCCCACTGCTGCTTACACCCGCGGTCTGAGGACGGGTGAGCGATCAGTCACCAGAGACACACCGACGGCAGGGTTTTGGGTACAAATCTTAGCCGCTTGTAGCACCGGCTGGGGCCAGACTGCCTGATGGAGGGGGGAGGCAGGACAGGGACCTCTTCACCCAAGAACTTTCAAACCACTTCCAATAAAATAAAACAGACGAGCAAAACCCACCCAAACGGGGCCAGCTGAGGCCGAGCTCTGCTCAGAAGCGAGCTCAGCTGCACTGGTTTTTAAACAGGGCAGGCTTTCTGCAGGAGGTTCCTCCAGGGCACAAGGGCTCAAGCCAACGCCAACAGATCCCTGCCCCTTTCGTGACAATCACCGCTGGCGCTTCCTCCCCTCCACGCTCTCCTGAGCACCATTAAACGGAGAGGAAAGAAAAGCCAGTGCTCGGGCACAGGGCGGCCCCTCTCCCCATCGCTTTTGTCCCCCTCCTCCCAGCTGGGTGCGCGCTGCTCTGGCCCCTCTGAACCATTTTCTGACACACAGGGAAGGTGTTTTTCGGGAGAAAAGACGCCCCCGAGCTCCCAGCTGCCTCTCTGCCACGCCAGTCCCTCCTCCTTTAAATCCCGGCTCCTCTCCGACTCCTCACAAAATGTCTCCATCGCTGCCTGCCAGACCTGGCTCCAGCCTCCCAAGAGCTAGCTGTCGCCTCGATGTCATTTGGAGAGGCTTTGAAAGGGGGGATCTATCTTTATCCGCGCTGGGAAGCGCCATGCACGGCTCTGGCTCTGTGCAAGTAATTAACAATAATGAAAAGTTGGGGTTGCCATGGATATGCTGTTCTATTTACAACGCGCATCTCTCCCCATCACCCAGACCCGCGCAGCAACCGAGGGAAATCAGAACCCCATTCACCGCCTTGGCGTGGGGTTTTATTTTTAACTGGGATGCTGTAATAGGAAGGCAGCCAGGCGGGACGTCAGGGGCA